AATCAACTCTTCGAAATAAACGGTGACGTTTCTCCAGTTAAACAGCAAACTATAGTGATGATTAGTAACGCAAGTGAGCCCACTGGATTCACGAAGTGGCATAACCGCCTTGGACATGCTAGTAAAGATCGCCTGAAGATTGTTATACCTTCTGAAGAAAGTCTGACAAAAGAACACTGTTGCGATGCCTGTATGAAAGGAAAGATGACTCGAAAAAGTTTTAATCATCACTTCGATTCAACTTCAGCATCTTTGGAGGTTGTTCATGGTGATCTGGTCGGACCTATAACTCCTTCTTCAAATGGCGGAGCTCGTTATTTCTTGACGCTAGTCGATCAACATACTGGTTATATCAATATTACGATCCTAAAAGAAAAAAGCGATGCTTCGGAAGCTATAAATAAATTTAGAATCTTTTTCGAGAATCAAACAGGGAATCGCATGAAGAAACTCATAACGGATGGAGGAGGGGAATTCTGCAACAAGATTCTCTCTGACCTACTCGAATCAGCAGGTATACAACATAATGTTTCGCCTCCGTACACACCTCAACAAAACGGAATAGCTGAACGTGCAAATCGAACGATATTGAGTATGACACGATGTATTCTTCTGCATTCAAATCTAGCGTCGGAATGGTGGGCAGAAGCAGTGAAAACTTCCTGTGCAATTACAAATTGCTTACCGTCTCTTTCAAAAAGCCGAACGTCGCCAATTGAACTTTTGTTTAAGAAGAAACCGAATATCAATATTTTTCGTCCATTCGGCTGTAAAGTTTGGTCTCTAAAGCCAGAAGTTCATCATGAACGCAAGTTTGACTCTTTGGCTTGGGAAGGTGTATTAATCGGATACGCAAATGATTATTCAACCTACAAAATAGTTCGACTTGATAATCTTCAAATTATTAATGTCAAACATGCGTATTTTGAAGAAAATGTCTTTCCAACTTGTCCGGCTTTAAGAAAAAGTATCAACAATCTCAATGCTTCAAATAATCTTCCGATTTTTGAGAAGGTTCCATCGTTGCCATTCGAAGAAGATTCTTTGCCGACAGAAGAGGAGGCAAATGATCGTTCCCAAGAATTACTTGAAGAAGAAATAATCTCAGAAAAGCAGCTCGATGTTGATGCTCATCAAGACTCAAATAAGCTTATTTCAAGTAACATTGATGAGTCAAACATTCTCAACTATTCAAGACGAACGGCATTAATCTCTCTGGCACCGAAGACGCATCATCAAGCCATGAAAGGGGAGGAAATTGAGGAATGGAAGAAGGCGGAGAAAAAGGAATATCAGAACATGGATGTTCATAAGGCATGGATTGTTCGAGGAAGAAAAGAAGAAGATTCACCTATCCCTTTGACTTGGGCTTTTCGTAAAAAACTAGGACCGAATAATGAAGTAACTGAATTCAAAGCTCGTATTTGCGTTCAGGGATTTCAACAATCTTTTGGACTAGATTACTTCGCAAAATACGCACCGACAGGAAAACCATGTTCTTTACGCTTACTTATCTCTTTCGCCGTAAATAATGACCTAAAGGTTCATCAATTGGACGTTCGAAGTGCGTTTCTGACGTGCCCTTTGGAAGACAAGGTTACGGTTCTTCCACCACCAGGTTATGTCGGAAAGTCAGACACAGTCTTCGAATTGCGTAGAGCGGTTTATGGTCTTCGACAAGCTCCACTTGTATGGTACAAGAGATTGTCAAATTTCTTAAAATCGATTGATTTTAACATCTCTGTATCCGACCCTTGTGTTTTCTGGAGAACTCAACAACCCGGCAGACCGATGACCTGGATTTATGCTCATGTTGACAATCTTGTCATCATAAGTTCCGATCCTTTGGTATTTAAACAAGAAATCGAAAAAGAATTCGCTATCAAGTACTTAGGAGACGCGGAATTTCTTCTCGGTATGAACATCACGAGAGAAAACGGATCGATCAAGATAAATCAGTTACAATATATTGAAAGAAAACTGGTTCAATTCAATTTGCAACACGCTTATCCAGCATCATGTCCTCTTAATCCGCGAATTCAGTTTGATAAAGCAACACAAGAAGATGAAGAAGCTTTAAAGAAACTTAATTTCAATTATCGATCAATAGTAGGATCACTTAATTATCTTAGTATATTAACTCGACCGGATATTTCTTATGCTAAAACTCTTCTTTGAAGGCTTACGTAGACGCGGATTGGGGGAACTGTTTGATCACTCGACGATCAGTGACAGGCTATGTTGCTATGGCTGGACATCATTTACTTTCTTGGAAGTCGAATAAACAGGATACCGTCTCATTATCATCTGCGGAAGCGGAGTATAAATCACTATCCGACTTAAGCAGAGAAATGGTATGGATTACTAGCTTAGTTAATGAAACTCAAGTTCAGAAACCACCCTCAAACATTCAAGTCTTCGTTGATAACAAAGCAGCAATTGATCTAGCGAACAGTGAAACGGCTCAGAACGGCTTTCGAACAAAGCACATGAACATTCGATTGCACTTTGTTCGAGAACACGTTCAATCTCATCTGTTAAAATTAATATATATTAAATCGAATGAGAACCCAGCCGACTTTCTCACTAAAGCTGTCGGAAGGTGTACTATCAAAAGATCTTTGAAAGCTTTGGGAATCGCATACCAATCCAAGACTGCTTCGAATCTTACGACACGAAGCACGGAGGACTGTTGGAATTCTATTCCTTGTCTTCGCCCTCGAAAGAGGAGATTATCAGGTTAGTTTATCATTTTGATGATTAAACTTCCTGAAAGGCAAATTTGTATCGCGCTGATCACTTAATTCTTGATCATGTGCAGAATCAAACTGTTTCACAGGAGAACAAGAGCAAACCAAGCATATTGCTTGCGAATCAAGAGTTGACGTCAATGACGTCAGGAGTGTAAATCTTAATGATGATTGTGATCAATCATCGAGCTCTAGGTGAGTTTCGATCATTGATCACAAGAGACTGAGGGAGGAAGCAAAAGGAGAATGACAATTCTACTTGCTTCGCTCTCAACAAATTATCATCAACAACTCTTTAGTTTACACTCGCACAAAAATAACTCGAACAGACTTATCGATAGGATTTTTCCTTCAATAGTCGGTAAGCAAGAATTACAGATCTTGCGAACCTTTTTCTTTTAAAAAGGAAAAGAGAGTAACTGATTTTGTTGTTGATGAACAATAGTCGATTCATCCTTCAAACAACAACCATCAGCTTTAATTAAGAAATAAGTTTTCTTAATAAAATAAAAGTAAAGTACTCTTTTACTTTTGATAAATAACTTGAAGAGGATTGGAATGATCGCTAATTCATAGTATATTGATACAGAAATCTCTTACTTATTATAGCCCAGTTAGATCAGTTAAAATCATCTTTATCGCTATCTATCATTGTTATTAGTTGAATTAGCAGATTTCATTCTGCCTTCAGGTATTATTTTTATTTCTTTAAATTTTCTTATCCGAAATGTATTCATAGCTTATTATTATAATAGAATACTTACAAAGAAATAAAATCTTCAGTTTTAAATTCTTTCAAAATGCTAATCCAACTTCAGTGTTCTTCAAGCTGACCTTAATTATAAATCAAGATAGACAGACAGATTCTCAATATGTACAATTGGTTGAAAGTTTCCTTCTTTTTCTTTGATATGTTTTTTTGTTATGTTTCACAAAATAAGGAAGCTGTTTTTTTTTGATGAATACAACATAATTGAATAATCATAAAAACATTTTTTTCTTTTTTAATTTGATGAGTTGGAAGTTTTTGGTTAAGTTTAGACATTTTTTTTCACAAAACAAATTCAAGAGTGGAGTTGTGTTAATTCATAGTTACCTATTGTATGGTGGTTGATGTGTGGTTGATTACTGAGTAAAAAAAAAAGAGAAGATCTTGGTATTTATGAAGGCTTCTTTGAAAATATCTTATCAATGATTAATGCCTTGAGTTTTTCATCCATTTTTTTTTTTTGCAAGAGATCATGAACAGACAATAATTCTGTGGCATCAGCAGTTAAAATTAGTTGTTATGAATCACATTGCAACATCAACCAGTTTTCTCAAGTTATTTCTTTCTTCTGATCATTATTCATTGGGAACTGGATGCAGATCCTAATTTTGTCCCACCCTAGGATCATTTGAGGGGATGATCAGCCAATCTAAGTAGAATCAGACTGCTTTGAGGCTGAAAAGAAAATACATGCTGGGATTCAAAGACTTCCTGTTGCATCTCATTGAGCCCCCCAAAAAAAAGTAGATTTATCCCTGAAAAGTCTAGATTCATCATGGAAATCTAGTGTTTGCTGCTCTTCATTGGTTCTGCCACTGGGTGCAGATTTGGGCAGGAAGTGAATATTGATGAACAACATCTGATTCACTGTTAACTGAATGCCCCGTGACTTCCAGAAATACCATAATGGGCTGTGATACACTGCTGGCCTTTTCATATTGGGGTTTCATTGCATCATCACAAGTTCGAGCATCCTAATATGTACATCCCATATAACTAACTTGTGTTGTATTCCACCTTCAACTTAATTCTTGAGGTAAATTTTGCAACTGATCAGGAAACTTGGACAGCAGTCTGTATCCGATTTTCTACCAGTTTGAGTAGTGTGATTTCTTGCTAAATCGGATTGATGATACTCATTTTTGGTGTGGTTGCAGTCCCAACATTAAACAAATGTAAATGGTGCTTGCGCCTGGCACTCATCACTTTATGTCCCTTGCTGTCAACCTTTTTTCATCAACAATACTTTGTCTTTGTCTGAGGCTTCCTAGATGTACATAAAGAAGGGTGCAGGAATGCAGTTTTCTCAGAAGAAACAGACAAAAAGCGTCTGTTGAAATCTGGTTTGATCAAGGAGCAGCGGTGTTGCAACAGAAAAGATGATTGTATTTCACAGGGGGTGTCACGGGGGTTACCAAGCACGTGACAGGGTCGGTCTGCGGTATTCTAGATGTTTCCCGGGTTCCTGCTTCCATCCAACCGGCAGGCACAAGAAGCAACGGGGATGGCAGATTCTAGAGCAACCCACCAGAGCACAATCTCGTTGTCTCGGCCTTCGGTCAACACGTGTGGAACCGGATTACAATAAACTCAGGCTGGGCAGGTTCCAACTCCTTGGCATCCTTCTTATTTCCAGATGACTTTCCGACTGCCTCTTCACTTCTCTCGCTCCATCGCGCTCTTGGTCGCTTATTTCGTCTTGATATCTACTCTTGTCAGACTTCAAACGACTAGCTGTGAAGGAACTGGATTGTCACCTCTGCGATCGATCAATTTATCTTACAATCTTATCCTGGTGAGATCGATTGTAAAATTCGAATCACGAAACTATAACACCAATCATCTTGCTTATGAACCATCCGCATTTTGGCCGAATAGACATCTATCATGAGCCCCTATGCATCTGCAAAACCAGAGTCCGCCTCGGGCAACCCACAATCGCACGAGCCACTGTCCTCCTCAAGCAACGATCAAGCCCATGAGCCGCTGTTAATCACTAATGCGCCGGCGGACTCACCTAGTCAAGAGACCCAAGGCCAATCCATAGCTGTTGGCAGCGAAGGCGTACAACTAGATCATCTAGGCCCGATGGTGATCAATAGTGATGGAGTTGAGTATGAACTTCAATTGTTCTCTGACATGACACACGAATTGACTTGTCTTGTTAACGGTTTTCATTCTCTCGGTCCATTCTCACTAGACGATTTCTCGGATCAGTAATTGGGATAAACTCACCGAGCCAGAAAAAAGTCGGACCGTCAGACTGGTCACTCAGAGGAATGCCCTTCGAGTTCAAAAGCTGAAAGACATGCCCCCCAAAACGGATGAACAGCCCCTCCCACCAAACGAAGATCCAAATCAACCCGCACACGGTGAACTCTAATGTCGAAGCTTAACCAGTCAATGAGATTGAATCAAAGTGAAAGAAAGCTTGCTCAGGCAGACTACACCTGCTGAAACAGCTAGGTCATCCCAGAAGAGGGGGTTTTTCTGCACAAATAGCTGGGGTTTTTCTCGCTGGTTTCACCCTTGCCTTCAACCTTTTTTTACTTGTAACTTACATAAGCTGCTCACTTTGTTACCCAGATGTGAAATAGAATAAGTCTTTAATAAAATAGGTTTGCACCTGGTTGATTCTTCAGACAATGCCCAACTTTTGGTGATGTTTATGGTTGACAAGGGAGCTAATGAGGCCCCCCAATTCCTCAGAAGTTCCGTGCTGCTCATCTCACCTGAAATAAGGCCAGATTTAGCCCACTACCCCCCATCTCCATTCTGCCCCATTTTGATGAATTGAAGCCCCCTGCAGAGGATAGAGGAGCAATTATAGTCCACTTGTGTTACATTGGACAGAATCAGAAACATCAGAAACAGAGCTGCAGCCATTGGTTCTGATTGTTGCCTATAATGAAGAGTCGTTGTCGATTTTTGATGGTATTTGCTCATGAGAAATGGATATGAGATCTGCTTCAATTCCTATTGGTCCACTCAACAAGTACCATATAAAGATGGAATGATGGCATAAGCCAATTGAAGAGGACCAGAAGTACCTAAAATGATATTGTACATGCTGAACAAGAGATGCATTCAGATCACAATTTCCCAGGGTCCTCCTCAAGATTCAATGTTTTTATTGCCTGAGATTTGTCCTCCCTCCATTTTGTTGAGTTTAAACTCGCGCATTGGTTAAATCTAGTAAAGTTGTTCAGATTTAACTTGTGCCATTTTTGAACTCGCGTCATCTGCGGGTCTCTTCTTTCCGGAGTCATTCACATCGATCGATCATCTTTCCCTTCTTTCCCCTTCCTTCGACTATTCGCCGATCTCTTTTCGAATCGAAAAATTAACCCGAGGTCATCAAAATTGTTCGCTGATCAATCAAATCGAATACCGATTTCATTCATTGTTAGCTTCAAAGCACTCAGGAGGAGCTAGAAACAGCTTCTGGGCAGGTATTTGTTTTTAGTTTCATTCACCGATTGTAATCAAAATATTGACCGTTTTTTCTTCATCAATTTCTCTAGGCTGTTTCGCTAAAACATTCCTGTGTGTAAAGAGTCAACGTTGGTGTATATCGTATTACAATTTTGTTACATTCTGATCTTAATTATCAGGTATTTATCATTATTATATTTTCTTAATTTTTTATCTTTTTTAATGTATTTCTAACTTTGTTTCTATTCAAGTTATTACTTCTATTGAGTTTCTATATAACACTGTTTCAATAAAGTAATCGATTGCATCATTTTTACACATTTTTGTCCTATAAATTCAACTCAAGTGGGACGTTCAGCCCAAAGCACAGGCCACTATACAAATGGGCATGTTTGACTTTCTTCAACAGGTGCTTGTCCCATGTGCATGTCTAGTATTCTAAAACTCAAGACATAATCCTCTCGAGGACCCTGCCTGGATAGGTGTGATGTGAAAGTCCAGATTAGCTCCAACCGTCTCAGTGATGATTGAGTCATCTGAAGTGGAGAATTACCTTTAGAGTCCAATGTGTAAATAACTGGAACACCATTGAGCATGTTTGCTGGCACTTCCGCATCAGAGCCCTCTATTTCCTCCATTATCGAACTGTTGCTCAACATGCCAGGAGGCGACAGCAGTAAGACCAATTTGATAAGCAGCGCATTATAGTGTTAGATGCATTTGGGAAATTTTTACACACAGAACGGGGTTTTCGTGAATAAGAATTAGGATAGTTTTTCCGGCTAGGACTTCGGGCTTTATTTGCTTATTGTAGTAGGCCTTGGCACGTTCGTCACCTTCTTTCAAAGTCTCACCCTCTGGAGGTCGATTATCTGGAAAATTATGGAATTTGGTGCTATCCCAGTATTTGACTTGTTGGTCACCATACTCCTTGCGGACATCTTCTTTGAACCGGCCACCCAGACTTCCGTAGCTTCGGGTGTTGAGGGCTGGGGCCTTCACAAGTGGAATATATTTGTGATCAAGGGCTTCCAGAACGATTTCAATACTCTCTTGAGCACGTATCCACCCAGAGGTGAATGCAAGATCAAACTTCAACCCAAGGCTCTTGAGGGTCTCTCCAACCAGTTCGGCTTGATGGCGTCCTTTGGCAGTCAACTTTGCCTCGGGCCAGGAAAACATTCCCATCGCTGGAAGTACAGATGATCAAATTCAAGGTCAACACAATATATAAATCATGTAGGTCACTATGCAAATACAAATCTCAAACAGACCATTAGATTGACTTTCGCCATGTCTTAGCAAAACAAGTTGTGCATGGGTACTGCCTGTGTCTCTCCCTTCAAGTTAATGTTTTGACAGGGTTTCCGGGAATTGCAAGGGATTTCAGGTTTGGTGAGCGACATGATCCAAGAAAACAATAGCACCAATGTCAGAATATTTGGAAAGAATCATACCATGTTCACCATTAAGCACATTTTTTGAAAATCCATCCCAAGTGCAATGTGCTTGAAGGCAAAAAAGACAAAGTAATACTATTCTGCTATATTGGAAGTTCATGGACATTATCACAGGAAAAGGGTGATGAATTGGTCTACTCTAGCAAGCTGAGATTGCTGGTTGATGGTGCGCTTCTGCATTCATCTTATAGCCCAATGAGAGCCCCAGCTTAAAACTGATCTTGCAGAAGTACTAGCGGTTGAATGATTTGCCGTCTGTCAGACTCACTGCAATACTAACTGAATGGTGGGACCTGGCCGAACAGTACATATTCACAGACCGAGTGTCTCCGACGGGTTCTGTGCCCCGGAGCTGATGTCTTAGGAATCTTTGGACCGGCGTCTCCAATCAATATTTGCCAACAGTGTCAGCTACGGTCCGTTTGGGTCCAGCAATAGCCCCGTTGTGCCTGCCAGATGCGACTCCGTCGCCACTTAAGTGCTTAGAAGCCAGCACTAGTACATATTTATTGGTTGCGGCCCGCTCACTCTCTATTCTGTCAGCTGCAACCCTTTAAATGTCAGCCATCCAGTACGTTTTGTCGGCTGCGACCCATTCAAGGTGGAGCTGGTACCCCGAGCAAAATCTTGCTCATGCAACACATCTTATATATGGATTGTAGCGGAAATTTATGCAAATTGGTTTTCCCTTGAAAAACTGACACTTGCTGTACTAGTTCAGAGAGGAAAATTGCCCCCCCCCCCCCTCGGCGAACTGTTACGGCTCTCGACATCACCGAGCTTAACTCGGTTCAGCTGCCAAATGACTCCAAAAGGTCCATCCAAGAATTTATGTCGCAATTTCTTGCGATCAGTACAAGCCGACAGGGTCTGGATAACCGCATTACCATTTTAAGATATATACGATGAGTGATAGTGCCTCTTTATCTTATGCTGTGATTCTGTGGCTCTGAATAATTTTCTTTAGTCCACACATTCGTATTGAATCATCTATGCTCAATGATTCCGCTGGTGATCAGGCTACTTGCCACAGATTCTTCACATTTTGGGGGACTTGAGGGGGAGCTTCAGGCCTGGCGCGCGTGCCCACATAAGCTTTGTGGAAATCTCCAAGCCGCTGCTGTGAAGGCCTTCTTCAGAAAGGGCCAGAATCTGCAGCGTCACAGACCCCACGCTTCTGTGTTAGGTATATGTAGCCTGTTCCAGTTGCATTACCTCATGGAATCTGAGACAACAATCCTTGACAATGTTGGGTTAGAACTAATTTCTCTCCTGAAACATGGAAGGAGGTTCATGAACATTCCGACGGGACACGCTCGACCGCAGTCAAGCAAGGTCTGGTATGTCACATATGGTACAGGAAGTACTTAACTCCATACTAGAAACTTCCTGTGACGGAGTAACGTCTCTCTGGAGAAGTTTAGAATTTGCAGATTTTTCTTACAGAAACAAATGAAAGCGAGTAAAATCAAGTGTATTTACCAAGAGAAGATAACAATGTGCTAATCTGAAGTGAGACCATGTGTTTAAAAGATAGACAGGAAGTCAAGTAAAGTATAGGACACCGAAAGAAACAAGAAGACATATTCAAGTAAGGAAATTTATATAAAAAAAAAGATGATAATGAACTTCTCAAGCAATGAGAATTGTGGACAATGCGTGTAGGAAATCTTAGAGTGGACGAAAAAAAGCTACATAAATCAAATCAAAAGGGAGGAAACGTCCGAGATTTACTCGGAATCTTATGCACAAGGGTTTCCACACTGTTGTCCTAGTTTTATTCTTACCCAAAGGGGCATATGTATATTTTTTATGAACATATTAAAATCTTCGAATGTAGATTTGGATGGGCTCATTGCGTGCTTTGGCATTCTGGGCACGTTGGAGCAGGTGAGGGTCTGACATAATAGGTTGTCACTGCTCACATCCCATCGAAAACCAACTGTTCAGATGGTTTGCGGAAAGTCGATTCTTGACTTGTCGGTTGCGATGGAGGTTGTACAGAATGCTGGTAGCTCGATGCGGGCTGGCTAGGTGGGGGCATTGATTGATTTGAGTTGACCATATCAGGATGAACGGTAGTGCTCGGTGAGTAGCTGGTGGAAGACCCGGCGGGCTGCTGAGTGAACATTGCATGCGTTCCTCCCGATATGATCTCTCTTGGGCCAAGTGACTCGTGGGTCACAAAGCCCTGCTGATGGCCGTCTCCGGGAGCACCATGCGCGTAAGACTGTCGCATGAGCCCATCTGACTCAATTTCGGCATTGAGTGAGTTGACCATGTTAAGCTGCGCTTGGAACTGGTGCAATGTGGGAGAGGCCGGCGAGGGGTTGTAATGAGGTCCTCCTGGTCCGTCTCTAACGATACGGGGACCCGCGCTGGAATGCCTGGTGTAATTATCCATGCCGCGAATGTCGCCTGGGGTTGCGGATCGGAATCGTCGATTGTCGGGGGCGAAACTAAAGTTACTCTCCATCGAGTGAGGTCGAGCCCCATGTTGCGACATTCCATAGACGTTGGGCGGGTCAGGAGACTGGTCTGGGGTGAGTACAGCACTACCAGACGGGTAGCCATGATATTGTGGCCAGCAACTAGCTTGGTCCGGGTATCCGTTAGGTGGGGTGGGTAAGCCCTGTTGGAATGTGTAGTAACCTGGCTGGGTGTGATTGGAGGGCCCAACCAAATTGGGGGTGTGAAGATGGCCATTGGGAGGAGAAATGGAGCCGGGATGCTCCGAGTCTTCGACATTTTCCATGCTTTCAAGAAAACTAGACATTCTTTCATCGAGTTCTTCTTCCGCCTCCAACGCGCGTTGATCTGATGAGCTAGTGGATCCAGCTCTCGCAGCAAGTTTTTCGTGTATCTTGAGGTGTGCCGCCAAGTTGTCGCTCCTAAGTTGCAGGACAGTGGGTCAGTCTTGGTGTCCCCAAATTTCATGCTCAACGTTTACTCAACGTACCTTGCGAAACGCTTGCCGCAGCGTGTACATGGGTACGGCTTCTCACTCGTGTGGATCCGTGTGTGGCGTTTCTGTGGTGAAAACGTTTCATATCATCAATTTGACAGTCACAAATGAGTCAAGTTGGGGAACTCACTAGATGCTCTAATCGTTTGAATAGGCGACCACAAGAAAACAAGGGGCAGACGTATACTCTGGAGGCACCGTAGGCGCCCTGATCCTGTTGTGAAGTATTGTTGTGGTCTAGCATGGAGCCGTCAAGAGGGTTCAGTAGTGAGAATTCATCATGATTAGATACTGCAGATAGCGGTGCGTGCGGCGACATTGGTGAGGGGCGCATATGCCGGTCACGGGTGTTGTACGGATGGCTGCTCAGGGCGTGATTCGAGAGAGATGAGGGACCCAATCCGGAGGAGGAAGAGGGTCGTGAGTGATAGTGGTCGTCAAACTCGCCTCCAGCCATTGGAGAAGCAGAATGAGAGCCAACGCCAGGGGAACTTTCATGCTTCTTGAGGGGGCGTTTCTGTCCGGGTTTTCGCCTTTGCTTGTATGTAGGAGAGCCTTCGAAAAGATGAAAGTTACCAAGGATGGAGTTGGCGTGTGACTCTGCGAAAGTTTGGACGAGCTTGGCTGAAGAGGTCGCAGGACTAGGAGGAGACGAAGTGCGATGATATTCGTCCGCGGAGGCTATGCTACTGAGTCCACTGGCTGATCGGTAGGCCATGTTGTTAGAAGAGGGCACGAGTAGGACTTGCGAGCCGTCGGCTTCTTGAACAGCCGTGCCGTGTTCGTTCGTGGCGCTGACTCCTACAGTGGTGGAGATTTGGGAAGGTCGTCGTTTGGAGCGATAGAGACCCTCCCCGGGCTCACCTGTACCGGTCGCTTCGGTCACAACTACTGGAGGTGGATGCTGAGCACCCTCTTCTTCTGCTTTGTTGTCGGACTCGGCGGGCGCAGCAGCATCTCCGTCCTCGAGAGCTTTTTGCTCGGTGAATTGCTCAAAGAGACTCTTATTAGGATTATAGACAAAGCTCAGAGCTGGTTCGGCTACAGCCTCCGTAGTTGGCTCGACGCCTAATTTCTCCCGCTTGAGGTCTCGGTCAAGGGCATCGAGAAATAGGCGGTCGTGAGGGACGCTGAACCAGTAGAATACTTTTTGTTTTTTCTGCGTTCTGATGCAGTTGTACTTGAAAAGTAGCTCCAAAAAATCGGACTGAAATCATCGCAAGCAATTCAACAAGTCAGGGATACTGCACCAATTGTAATTGAGTGACAAGGGGATTAAAAATTACTTTGGGCTCTTCGAGAGTGGCGTCCGAGCCACTTTTCAGGTTTCGCAGATCACTGAATATTCCTTCTTCAAATTTCTTAGCATTTCGTACCGGTCTGCCAAAGGCTGCAAACCTGAAGTGTAGTGCACGGACTATATCGGTGCCAGAGACCTACGGAGGATAACCTGCGGTTATTATCGAAGTAATTGCGAGGCGTGGAACGCAAAGGCAGATGTGACTTACGTGGTACAAACCATTCCAGTACACACACGAAATTAGTTCACCAGTGGGAAGTTGGAATCTGTTGAGGCATCTTTCTTCTCTGGCCACCGGATCTTGGGGGTCGTAGGGGGACGTGTCGAATGAGGTCGGAGCGGTGGCGAGGAAGAACTTGAGCTTGTCGACGGCTTCGAGCATGGACTGCTGACTTGGGTTGCCGGGCATGAAGACTGGGGGTGCATAGTTCCCATCGGGCAGAACATGCACCGGAGTTGGTCCCGCAAACTGTTGTGCCTGGGCCATCTGGTCGTCAAAAAAGTATTCAGAGGGTTGGTCCGGGTGCCAATTAGTAAAGGATTGATCAAGGCAAAGTAATGCATGTAACATGATGATAAGAAGAACGATTGAACTGGAAATTTTAAACAGGTCAAGGGAAAGATTATGGACAACGAAATGGAATTAAGCGCCAAAAATAGGGCGATTGCGGAGGATGGTTTTCAGTTATTAGACAGAGATGAAACGTGCGCAATCAATAACGAATAATGATATATGGAGAAAGATATTAGAGTGGAAGAGGCGGGCAGGTTATGGGTACATCGAGGGAATGTAGGGCGAGGAGGATAGTTATGGCAGAAGGGAACGGGGGGAGGAATTACTAATAAGGGTTCCGCGACACCTTGGGTAATTCGGCGGATTTGCTTGGAGAAGATGGTTGAAGCTGACAACAGCACATAAAAGCTGTATGGACTCATGGGCTGTTGTCGATTGGGATGGAAGCTGTAGTGTTGGGAAGGTAGTGATCACGAGATCCACAAGTGGTGAAGATGGATGGATTAGGATGCCGAATGTTGGTTGCCCAACAAATGAATTGGGAACACGCCGGTTGGGGTGTCCCAATCCATGGGCGTGAACCAGAGCAAACGAGACAAAAATAAAATTCACTCGAGCCCATGTAGACATGTTTCGTTTTTGCTTGCCTGCTGTTCTTCAGGCATCACCCGCCCCGGGAGATTTGACTGAGAATTGTGCGTCGAGGGAGGTGCGGTCCCCACATCTTGGGCATCACCCTCAGCGCCAAGCAACATGTATAATATGCTCTGATTGAAATACAGTCGCGGTGGCTTTTGGACAGAGACGAATCAGCACCACTTCGGTAATTGAGGGTGGCTGTAGCTGCATAGCGATAGCTGCATAGGCTACAGTGATAAGGTTGCAAAGGTTTCCAGTGGAAAATGCAAGAATCTGTGTTTCTAGCGCACTCAAGCCAATTGCCGAAGAAAACCTTCCCCTGAAACGCTGAACATATGGATACGCCCGTTGGCAATGTGAAAGAAAAATGTTCTACCCTTTGTATTGTACGGGTGGATACGCAGAGACTTGAGTTCTAGTGTAGGTCGTTAACTTACTAGATCTTTAATTGCCTACTCGGGAGGGCCTCGTGGATGTGGTAGAATTTCTGGCCTTTTATGCGCCTTGATCACCGAGATTTTTGGTCTTTGCGCTTCTGGGAATCTCCACAAGTTAACCTCTTCTCGATGGGTAGAAATTGACAGCCTGATAGCGAGTGGATGACTATCGCAAGTTGAGAGCTTCGTCCACCAAACTCCGTAAGACGATTTTGCTGCACAGAACCTACATTAATAATTGCAAGATCGGATAGGTTTTGGTCAGGCACAGTCTGAAGTTTTTTTGGACGTGAAGCTCAGTAGGCCAGTGATCGAAAATGATCGAAACAGCGATTAACGGGAAGGGCGTGTTTGAACACGGAGTATCTCTCCTGAACAAAGGCATGGTGGATGTGGTCGGGATAGGGTGGAGGAAACGGGTCGATGTTGGACCTCTCGGTGATCGTCATCTGTAGTCGGTTCTTGGGATACATTAATGCATACATTGATCTTTAAGGATTCGTGATCCCCAATCCTTGATTTATATGAACCATATGCAGTTCGAAATGCGCAAGGCTAAAATCGATCGGTCACGCCCAGAGGCTAGTGCATCTATACAAAACGCCCGATAAATCGATGTTTTTTGACGTTGTTGTAGAACAGAATGCCCTAACGATGGATCTGATAAGAGCCACTGATCAGGGAATAAGATGCGAAGCCGTGAGGCATTCTTTGAAACGATGGCATTTATATAAATCAAACACCCATCAGCCTATATTTCAAGTAAGCGATGTCTCACTTCTTGAACAGAAGCATTTGGCGCAATGAGTTACCCAGACACAGTTTCCAAGATGGAAATTAGCAATATATCTGTGTGTGCGGGCGAGGGCAGTAAGAAGTGCTGGGAAAGAAGTGGTGACGACTGGGGGGTCATACGGCCCTTCAGGCGGTGATTTCAACCAAATGAACTGAATAGAGTCACATGTTGTGGAACAGTCAGTGTTGTGAACCAATGTAACAACCGTCAACTGTTCCAGATTGACTTTGAGGCGATGCGTGGCCTGTGCAAGTGGTACCAGTGTGCATAGCAGGGGAAATTGCAGAGCGCTGAGAGGTAAAACGAGTTTAAGGGAAATCTTGTTTTCAATAGCAAGGTGAAAGAAACGCCGAAGCATAATGAGCTGGATAATCAGAACGTGTTTCCTTTACCTGTTATAGTTTGAGGCGCTTCAAGTTGCCTTTGTTTTATGTGCGCAGGGGACCCTAGCGTTTGGTTGGCGGCCGATTCCTAGCCGGATAGCGCTGGGTGGCCTGAAAATGGAGTTGGAGGGGACAAAACAGGTTAGATGCCGGAGGCGCTGCAGTTTCAACAGGTCCTGGCTCAAAGCCGGATCCAACTGGTCGCTTACCAGTTGTAGTTGGATGTGACACACAGTAACGAAAGACACGAAGACCGAAACCCTGGACGGAGCTTCACTTCACCGAAAGAAGAGCAGGTAGATATTTGTGTGAAGGTGAGGCGGGGATGATTGGTGTGGTGTTGGAAGTGCACTGGAGGCTATGGAGGATGTTTGAACAAAGGGAAACCTCCTGAACTTCTGAAGTTTCAGGCAGAAGGTAGAGTGTGCAGATGAGGAAGCTGTTACTTTGCTTGATGTTAAAGGTGGCAGTCGTTCTTGCCAGTGCCCCGAGGTTTTTCAGCTCTGCTCCTGCAATTTTTGCTCGTCCTGACACCGATGCGTTCTGACACTGTGACTGTCGTCCAACGTTTCAGGTTATTAGCTTCAAACACGTTGTTATTCAATCGTGTAAAGTATTGTCCTGAGACGTGTTTTACAGATGAACTGGAGATATCAATGAAACCTGAGCGGGCAAGTATATACGAGTACAGTTGTCTATGTCGATATAACAGCAGGAGTTTTCTGGGAGGGAAAGGAATCTGCGCCTCTTTAGAAAGCTAACCGCGACTGGATAAAGAGGCCTTGGATAAAGAAGCCTTGGACAAAGCGGCAGTTGAAAACTTTTTGTCCCAGTGGATTGGAAACTCAAGATAAGAGCAGGTTATGTAAAGGCAAGTGAGATCAGAAGAGAAGCATGTCTCGGCGACCCCATCTCCATCACAATTGACCGATTATTGAGGCCACAGTGACAACCTATGTGATGAGTTGGGTGTCATGGCTTCGGCCCAATCGCTGAAGCATAAATATTGCAAAAAGTGCGATCGAGGGCCCGGCTCATCCTATGCTATACATAGTATGGATAACTCCGCATCCAAGGCCGATGCACCTCACGACTGTCCCGGCATCCTGGCCCCCATCCATACTACTTGAATGGTTTCATAGCCTTGAGGAAACGTGCTGAGATCGTTGATACAGGTTTCATTCTGCTTTTAGTATGCGTTGCAATCGGTTTCATGCAACAATCAACTTATGTACTGCAGCGACGTCACTTGAGAGGAAGATTTTTTTCGGTCCATCGATTTCGATGCGACTGAAGTCTTCATTGCTCGGTTGTAAAAGGTTCCTGGTGTCGGAAGCCAAGCCATTAGAGTCCACATAGTGATGTAGGTCTGGGACTCGGTTGCCACTGGTGCCAGACCCATGTCTGTAATCTGAGGAGCCTGATCCACTTCACAGTCGGCAACAATTGACACTGGCATGTCGCCAGGTAATTTCTTTGGCCTTTTAGCTGCGATTAGTTACGGACTTGCAGCATACATATGCTGACTGATCACGGGAGACATCCGGCCAAGGACTCCTTGAAACAGCCATCCAGCTAAATACTAACTATCAATCCATGAGACCAGTGAGGTTCTCTGACATACCCACTACCAAGGGGATGCCGGGTCTTTCTCATCATCCACGATAATCTTCAATAGGGCGGGCATGAGGTCTATAAAGTAGACCACTCACTTGGACTGTGCTTCTTCTGAACACCTGACTGAGTGATCATGTCTAGCACCGAGAAATCCACTGATCATTGCTTGCAAGTTACTCGAAGAACTTACCCTGCCCGCTTCTCCATTTTGACGCAGTCACTAGCCAATCTTTGACTCGCCTGAGCGTTTCTATGTATCTGGGAAACTCGTCTTTTGTTGTATGAGGAAAAGAAGCATCTTCTGGTTCAGTACGGCGTGGGCACCCTCCCAGTCCCATGGGATCACCTGCGGCTCAATACCAGCTGATATGAGGAGTGGTAGACCCAGATCAACTGAGAAGCTACAGTTATAGTGCAACGCGGCTAGTAGGTGCTTGGCCCTGAGCAAGATGGCTTGTCTGAAGGAATTGGCCCTTCAAACAATTTTCGAGTTTAGGATGGGGATGCTGCCTCTCATGTTTTTCTTTTTGCCTTTAACATCACAAATTTTTGTGACTTTCATACCAGTGCTTTGCATCACTTACCCTGCACCTTCCCTCTCTGCAAGTATCTTTTTTTCTCCTTTGAATCTTGGTGAAGTTCATGAACAAAGAGGACCATTTTCTTGATTAATCCTGTTGTGGCTAAGCACACTGGTGTTCAAAAAAATAAAGTAACTTTCTATATATTGAGTGAAGTAATGTGCAACTTTGGTTGGGACTTAGTTTTGCATATTGTCTGTTCTAAAAAGGTTGGACCCAGCTCTCAAAAGAAAAAAATCTTGTTATGCATTAAAAAGCTTGTTTTATTTTGTTTTTTCTGAGGATTCCGTCATAAGGTATCCCAACTTTTGCTCCTCCCTCCCCTACCCCGATCCAGTGACTCAATGCCCGGCCATCAACTCCCCTTCCAGCCTGGTCAGATGCAGCAAGGGATGGCCAGGCAGGTATTAGGATCAGGGTAAACTTTGCACCCTGATTCCAAATATGAGCTTTGATTTGCCAGAGCTCTTCTCGGAGATAAACTAACACTGGATTGCAGTCTCAGCTATTGGGTTGGATCACATACCTTTCCAAACCCACACCTGTAAAATAAAATTCTTATATCAAAGGCATGGGGTCCGCTTGGACCTGCCAAAAAAATCAAATGGTTCCAAGATTTTTGAACAAGAAAGTGTGCTGATTTGAACATCTCTCATCAAAACATATTGTCAATTTAATTTGGATCTTTCAGACCTAACTTCCTAAGTTCCTAGTATGTTATAGGTTGCTCTGTGGTTTACTAGATTTCCAAATTTGTATGGATTAATGTATGAGATCAAATTTCACCTGTCACAAAAGAGGCATTGGCTTATAGTATGACTCACAAAGAGTTTAACTGGTACCCAATTCAGTTATGAAGACAAGCCAGTGTTTTTTTGTGTTGGAAACCTCAAAGATGTTGTTGTGAGTTTCAAGGGGGTAGGGGTAGTTGAGTGTGAGAGAATTGTTCATAAAAGTTCCAAAAAGCAGCAATTGGTGCTCATTTAATTCAACTTTTCAAATTAATTTTGCTGTATATAACTTTGATGCTATTTGGTTTTTTTAACTACAACTTACTTGCTCTTGTTGTGATTCAGATGAGATACCAGCAAGCCCCTGTTAAAATGTTGCACGGCATCTGGTACAGACAGGCAGGCAGGCACTAAGGAAAGGAAACAATTCAAAAGAAGTTCAAAGAAATGACCAACAGCAACACTGAAACCAACAAAATACATGTGTCTGTATTGGTCTGTATCTGTATTTGTTTTTATCCCAATACATTGTATCTGTATTGTATTGGAAAATTTTGAAAACAAATACTATACAAATATATTGTATCTGGTCACCCATACAGCCCAATACAATCCTGTATTTTTTGTATTGGGAAGTTGGGTTAAATACAGTCCAAATTGGCCAACAAATTTGCAGTAGTTTTTTGATGAAATACCTTTGTATTGTATCTGATTTCATATACTATTACAATACCCAATACCATATTTTGATTATCTGAAGAAAAGATACAATACACTGTATTGCCCAATACATTTATTGTATTGTATTGTATTGCTTTCACCGGTCTAACAGGCGAAAGGGCTGCTTTGAAGTATCTTCTGATTAAATGAGAGAGGAATTTAGATGAGGAGACTTAAGTAAAAAGACTTGAAGGGTTTTGCAAAAGGAAAAGGCTCAGAAGGCAAAGACTCAATGAGAGCTAAAATCTATAATATCATTTTGATGAGGGAAGAAAGAATAGGTGAGTACAGTGGATGGACCATTATTTTTGTGTGCTTGTTTTGAATTCCAGAAATTCAAATCACAAACCAAGTCACACAGCTTTGTCAAGTGGTGCAAAATATGTTCCAAAAAAAAAATACAAAGAAATTAAAACCAAAAACAAAGTTTCAAAATTTGTGAAAACTACAAGATAAAACTGAATTTATTTCAAAAGCTTTATTTTGAAGGAGTGAGAATGCTGAGAGAAAGAATGATTATAAATAAAAACTATGGAAAAAGCCTGGATTTGGCTTTCCTAGTGATGGGCAGGAGATGGGACAACAATTTGAAGATAACAAGTTCAGTTCAAGCTGAAATTCAGAGAGTCAAAGGATTGCATGTCCTGTTTGACTGTCTATATGCTGATTGCAAAGTGTAATGCACAGAGAATTGCATTGCTGATTAGAGCTGATCAGATGTTGAAGTTCTATTCTTGAGACAGTGTGTGGTAGACTCAAACTAAGGTTTAGGCAAAATTATGTTGATGATTTTTTCTTATGCCAAAGAGATTTTCAAGCATTACATGTGTGAAAACCCTGCTTCTGCACAAGGGAACTTTCCTCTTATTGTTAAATTTCACACTTTTTTCAAGAGTTGATGTTTGTTTTGTGGTTGGATGGATTGAATGTTACTCCTAGGTGTTGGTAAGCTTTCTCAAATGGTAGTTTGAAGGGGAAAGAAAGAAAAAAAAGAAGGAAGTGATGATATCAGACTGAGCAACCCAGAGAAATGGGCCTGGATGCTGATTATTTTTTGGTATCAGAAAAATAATGTCAACTCATGCCCTGGTGCTTCAGGCTCCCCCAGGGCATTTTCAGGGTCTGGGGTTTGGAGAATTCCCTGTCCTGAACCCTGGGTCACATCCTTGACATTTTAGACTCTTCTGATCTCTCTCAGTCTCTCAACCTTGCTTCTCTTGCTTTAGTGTACTATTTGCCACTCTTGGCTATACTTGATCTTTATCTTCCCTATCTTGCTTCCTGATTATCCTGTCAAATTCATCATCTTGTATATCAGAATAACTGAGCTTGGGCAAAGCCAACCCAATACCTGCCCTCTCTTTTACTCTCACCCTAACTCTTGCCATCTCATCCCATGAGACTCTTCATATTCCTCTCATGTGATCTGCTCTCTCTCTCTCTCTTGATGCCATTCTGTCATCTTCTGTGTATAAATACAGCTCTGTCTCTCTGACATGAATCCTCAACTAAGTTCTCCTGTATCTTTTCTGCACTACAAAAGCTGGCACAAATCACACATGTGCTGGCTAAGAATGAATTCACAAAGGCTGATTATAGAACAATAGAGAATGAATGCCATTGAATGTTGAATTGAAGATAACTTCCAAGTCTTGTATGACACAAAACTGAGTCATTTGATTCCTGGGACATCTGGGTTTTGGATGTGCAGAGATTGTTTTTTTTTAATCACAACTTTAGATGTGTACTACATGAGGGTGGTAGGTGTAACATTGGTGATATTTACAATTGCAGATGGCATAAAAAAACCCTGGATTTTCAGGATTGGATGTGCAAAATTTTCAGCTGAGGAATCCTTTTTTAGGATTTTGAAGATCCATAGTGGCAGAATGTTAAAAGAAATACCATAGGACCTCGAATTGACAATCAAGATATGTACCAAAGGTAACAAAGTGATGTGAACACATGGATACACCTCACTTATACTCATTGTTGGCTCTTGGAAGGCTTGTCTAAGAACATTGACTCTACACTGAGAAAAACAAATGAACCACTGGCTGGGTTAAAACCTTAGTGGTTAGAAATTTGTATGTTACACACTAATTGTGCAAGTCCAAAATTTTAATAGAATATGTATTCAGGGTTGTCAAAGTCCTCATAACTTGCCTGAGATTGCAAGCTCATATAATCTGATAAACAAGTTTGTTGAGATCTGATTGTGATCCCTCTCCAGTACTCTAGTGGTGTTTTTCCTAAAAGTCAACAATTACATAATCCCAGTCGGCTTTCAAATGATATCATAAGTGCAAACTCTGCACTCTCATATATAGGTCTCTCTCTTTTGACCAATCTTGTCTTTCTTCCCATGAATCCAGAAACCTTCCTTGCTGTTTCTCAGAAGAATTCATTTACTCTTCTCATTACTTTGGACTCATCACTGTCACTCTAGTCTATTTATTGTAAAGAATAGTGACTACTTCTTTTCCTCAAAAACTTCTCTATCTTGTCTTCCAACAATCAACTTGACCATTAAATGTTCTTTCTTGTTGTCAAACATCATTTGACTCGGCTGTTATTCACTGTCTTGCGCCTCCCTTCTATTTGACTCCCCGCCGATTCTTAACACTCCTAAATCCTTGTCAAGACACAGTAGGTTATCTCTTGACTCTTCTCTCTGGAAGACGGTCTGATTGAGACATTGAATTCTCTTCTTTATTAGTCCTTGTCCTTTGTCTCATTTCTTCTCTTTTTTGTTGTGTCCCTTGTCTAGTTGCTCCTGCCTTAAGGTACACTTTCATTTCATTGTCTAAATCACTTTCTCTATCATGTATTTCTTTTTTTATTCTCACTAATTTGAAATACATCCTCAAGTTTGGTATTTAACAAAGTTTTCTGCAGGGCTTATAATGTAATCATGAAACAAGAATCCCTGCAAAAAAAAACTCATTTATCAGATTATATGAACTCACAATATCGCACGAGTTATCAGAACTTGGACAACCCTAATTGGGTTTTTCTGGCCCATTGCGGGGAGGGCCAGTGTGTTGATTCTATACTTTGTGGGTGGGGTGATGGCTGGTTTATGTGATCTATAACTGTCTCCGAAATCTGTACCATTTACAGTTTATAGGCTCTTGCAGTGTGACTCAAAATATACATTGTTTTTTTTCAACAGTGGGGTCGGGAAGATCCTATATTGTTCATGAGGATGCTTCTTGAAAAAAAATCAAATCCAACATGTATCCCATGAAGTTCATGAGGAGCATTTGAGGAAAACAAACAATGGATGGCTTCCTGTTACAACCCTTGAGGCTTGACCCAGAATTTAAGTCACACTCCCCAGCAGATCTTAATTTTTGGTTTAATTTTTTTTTGTTCACAAGCCTTGTAGGACTAGCCACATGTTGATTGGGGTGTTCATTTGGGACTGAGGGGGGGTTTACAAAGCACTCTAAATGGTGGGGGGGGGGAGTCCTGCAATACCTCTGTTAATTGGATACATTAGTGGGGTTCATGTTAGCTTCTTGCAAAAAACAATCTCTTCTTGTGCAAGAACCTGTTGCATTGCTTTGGAGCTAAATTTAACCCTAGATGTCACACCAGTTTTGTTGCAACAGGTGGGTGAGCAAAAAAAAAAAAGTGTTCTTGGGTGAGAATGGTATGATGAACCCTGCTATTTGGTGTGTGAGGGATTCTCCTCCAAGGTCCTTTCCAGATTACTTGTCTTAACTTTATGGACTTTGAGAGTCAAGCTCTAGTTCAGCCAATCTCTACTAGACCATCTCTTTCCATCCTAGACCATTGAAAGAGCTGTTATATTTTTGGAGTACATGAAGAGTTTGATTGAAGTTGATCTCTCTATAATTAAGTTGATGGTGCAGACTTTTTGATGAATATATGGTAGGTTGGAGTCAACTAGTGAACTTTCAAGTTAGACTGAGTCTGAATTTTGAGTTGTGTGGTAGTAGTAGTTTAGTGTTCTGATTTGTGCTGTGCCTGGAGTACATCGTGTTTGGTAGTACATATGCAAGTCGGTCATATTTCAAGCTGATCATCTGATAGGTTTCTTTTGTTTTTGGGTTTGTTGTCTTTTTTGTTGTTGTTGTTGTTGTTGTCTTTCTATTTTTGATTATCCACTGATCAACATCCACATCTCACCACCACCACCACTCACTCTCAGCCTCGCCTCCTCTGTCTCTCCCACCCGAATCCGATCCTCAGCCTCGGCTTCACACTGAACTTTCCCTCAATCAAAATATCGATTTACCTTAATAATCCATACAAAAACCAAAAAAAAACAAAACCAAACCAAAAACCAAACCATGTCATTCTCCATCCCATTCGGTTCTCTCATTCCCTCCAGACCACCACCAGCACCACCCAACCAACAACAACAACAACAACAAAACCAACAACAACATCAACAAAAAGAAAACCACCTATCCTCCTCATCATCCTCAACCTCTTCAACCTCACCCTACCAACACCACCACCAGTCATTCAACCAACGAAGCTCACTCCATCAGTCCATCACATCTGGTCATGCACCTTCGATCCTCTCAAAATCAACAAGCAGTATGATCGGATCAGCACCATTCCCTTCCAACCCTTCAAGCCCTTCCCTCTCTGGCTCAAACCTAGCACTCCAACCCAACCCAACAACGATCGTCCGAAGAGGGTTTGCCAAACTCAAGGAGGACGGGCTAAGATCTTGGATCTGGTCACAACGATGGTTGATACTCAGAGAACAAACCTTGACTTTCCATAAGAACGAGGTATGTATCCATCCTGAATCACTACACACACTCACTACAAAATCATCATCCTCATCATCCTCTTCTCCTACCTAGACCACCTCCACCGCAGCTGCCTTGATCTTCCTCAAGGAAATCACCAACGTCACCCGAACCGATCTAAGACCCTACTGCTTAGAGGTCGAGACTAAGGATAAGACCTACAACCTAGCACTCAAGAACGATGAGGAACTCTACGGCTGGATGGATGACATCTACTCCCGATCACCCCTCATGGGCGTATCAAATCCAACTAACTTTGTCCACCAGGTTCACGTCGGATTCGATGCCGTCTCTGGCGCATTCACCGGCTTACCCGAGCAATGGACCAGACTCCTCACCAGTTCTGCGATCACCAAGGAGGATTATGCCAAGAACCCTCAGGCGGTCCTCGACGTACTCGAGTTCTACACTGACATCCAGAAACGGGAGAACGAGGAGTATCCGATCGGATCCGGTGGCCATCAACACCAGCAATCCATCGATACCTCCAAACTCGATCACTACCACCACCAACACCAACACTCCGAATCCACTCACCCCTCACCCAACATCCAAAACAACAACTCACAAAACTCCTCCAATACCGGCTTCTCATCCTATCCCTCCCGAACCGCCCCCTCTCCGGTCATCCAACACTCCGAGTCCTCTAACCATTCTGCTGGTCTTGGTGATCCCGGCCAGTCCTCCTCCTCGACCAACTTCCCACGAATCAACAACCCACAACCATCTCAGTCCCGGCCGAACCTAGTCCCACAACGTGTCGCACCGGTGGCCCCATCGGCCACCCCGGGCTCCGGCGGACTTAAGCCGCTGAGCCTGTCCTCCTCTGCCTCCCCACGTCCGCCAGTCCAACCACCCCGAGAGAGCGCAAAGCAACTAGCGCCGGCCAAGACCCAAGGGCCTAAACCTCTCACTCTCGGCCAGCCCCGGCCCGCCAACGGGGCTACCACTACCACCACCACCACCAACAACAACAACAACAACACGGGCACCGCCAAGCCCTCAGGCAATGCCGTCCCCGCTAAACCGGCCGCCTCAGCCCCACCGAGTCAAGAGACCAACCAACCAGCACAAGCACCGATCAAGGCACTCCAGACGGTCAAGAAACAGGAGGCCAAACAGAACGAACGAAGGATCTCGAGTCTGACTGAGGCGCAAATCATGGCGAAGCTTAGGACGGTAGTCTCGCCACAAGATCCGAACCAGATCTATGCAAAGATCAAGAAGGTTGGACAGGGGGCCTCAGGCTCGGTGTATGTGGCTAAGACCTTGGCCACCGGAGCTAAGGTGGCCATCAAACAGATGGACCTCAAAGTCCAGCCTCGTAAGGAACTTATCGTCAACGAAATCCTCGTCATGAAAGAATCCCAACACCCCAACATCGTCAACTTCCTCGACTCTTTCATCGTCCGTGATGACGAACTTTGGGTGGTCATGGAGTTCATGGAGGGCGGAGCGTTGACAGATGTGATCGATAATAATACGATGGAGGAGGATCAGATCGCTAGTATTTGCTTCGAGGTCCGTTCCACTCCTTCCTCCTCCTTTTCTTTTCTTTTCCTTACTTACTCTGATCTTCTCGGATCTTTTTTTTTTTTGTTTCGTAGAGTTGTAAGGGATTGCAACATTTACATAATCAAAGCATCATTCATCGAGACATCAAATCAGACAACGTGCTATTAGATGCGCAAGGACATGTGAAGATCAGTAAGTGTCCACATTCATTTCGAGATCCCAGACCACCCCGATTTCCAGCGAAGAAAGAGAGAGACTAACAACAAGATGATGATGATGATGATGATGATGATTTAGCCGATTTCGGGTTCTGTGCCAAACTGACGGACCAGAAATCGAAGCGGGCGACGATGGTGGGCACGCCGTATTGGATGGCCCCCGAGGTCGTCAAGCAGAAGGAGTACGGCGCTAAGGTCGATATCTGGTCCCTCGGAATCATGGCGATCGAGATGATCGAGAACGAACCGCCGTATTTGGACGAAGAGCCGCTCAAGGCTTTGTATCTTATCGCTACTAATGGTATCTCCCCCCTCTTTCCTCCTCTTCCCTTCCCCTAGTTTTGTGATCGGTTTTATATACTTTTTTTTTCTTTGTTGATTAAAAAAAATTGGGTGGTTGGAATTAATCTCTCTCTCTCTCTCTCTTGATTTTTTTGGTATCTAGGTACTCCTACTCTTAAAAAACCGGAACGATTGAGTAAAGAACTCAAGAACTTCTTGGCGGTCTGTTTGTGTGTAGACGTGAAGAGTCGAGCGACGGCTGACGAACTCATCCAAGTCAGTCCCCCCTCCTTCTTTCCTCTCATCATCAATTAACCATCTTATTTATCCTCCCCTCCACTTTTTTGTTTGATTTCTGATTCTTGTATTTGGTCCTTTTGCAAAACAATCAAATCTAGCATGAGTTCTTGAAAAAATCATGTACTTTGGCCGGGTTGGCGCCCTTGCTTAAGTTCAAAACTTCCTCGAGATGATCCCTCTCCCGCTCCCTCTCTGACTCAATTTCAATCGGTTTCAATCCACCTCTCTACATCTTCTTCCTTCCTTCCTTCCTATCTCTCTTTTTTATCAAGTCATCATCCCCTTTTTTTTATTTCTTTTATACTTGATATATATATTGGTGTGTGTTTGTGTGTGTGTGTGTTTTGTTTGAAGACGACTTAAAAGAAAACGACGTGTCTCTCCTTATCTCTCTCTCTCTCTCTCTGCTGTTATCTCTCTTCCTTGTTTTTTTCCCTTATCCAATAATGATCATAATGAAAGTCTCGTTTCCTTTTCCTTTTTTTTCCTCATCTCATTCTCATCCTCATCTGCCCCACACATGCAGTCCTATTTGTTTGGTTGGTTGGTTGGCTAGTTTTTTTGTATTCTCTCAGACGCCTCATGACTCTCAACAATCCTCTCCCATTTTTTTGTTTTGTTTGTTTTGTTTTCTGAAACGGTTCTGTTGTTTTTTTTTGTATATAATATACAATATAAGCGTATAATGTTATGATAGAATCACCCCAAATCGATGAGCATATTGAGTCTCAGTGTTGCATATAAATCACATCAAGATTGGTAGTCATGTCATGTCGTGTCGTGTCATACATCTATCCATATATAAACATAACATATCTTCTTTCTTTCTCTTGCTGGCTTGCTTGATTTAAAGTAATCCGATTACTTTCTTTATTGGTTTGGTTGATGAATACACTGGTCCTGTTTTTTTTTTTTTTTTAATCATCATGCAATCATACAAATGAACCAAGCCGTCAAAAGTATTGGTTGTAGAGCTCCATGGGGGCACTTGGGTAGTCCCCATAATCAGATTCAAAAACAGACCCACCCACTCTTCAGCCTCCCACCTGCAAGATTTTTTTTTTCATCCATATTTTATCCCCGGGCTGGATCTGCCATCCTATTTTGATCTGCACCCCCAATGTAACTGTGTGTGTTTCTTTTTTTGGTTATCAAGAAAGATGACAGGGAAGTCGGGATGATATATATATCTATGTGAATGAGCCTTTCTTGTTGCACATGATGTGTCCTTTTCTTGTCTTCTTCTTTGGTCAAGAATGCTGTTGGTTGTCAGTGGTGTTGATGTTGCATAAGACAGCACACAGGGCCACCTCCCTCTAGCTTTTGCTCTAATATAGATAGGATCTTAGCTAATTGACTCCCAAAAAGTGGAGGATCGACTCCCAAACCCCGAAACCCCCGGAATTTCCACCGAAATCCCCGAGGAATGGGAGTCGATCCCCCAAACCCGTCAGCATGTTTGGGAGTCGAAAACCCACTAATTTTAATAAATAAAAGGCCAACCCCCGAAGGGGTTGGGGGGTCGCTTACCAAAAAGAGCCTGCAACGGCCGGGAGAAACATGAACTGACCACTGTTTGGCGTCGACCAGCTGCCGTTGGGGTAGAGATCGTTTGTTCGTACTCGGGTACCTGTTGGTACCTAGGTACCTGCTGAATTTTTTCAGAAAATAGGTACCAAGTACCGCACCAGGCACCTCCTGGCGGGTACCGGCGGTACACCTCCCTCTCTTCCTCACTTAGTTTGACTGCAAGGTTCATTACAAACCTTTTGCATCTTGTTTGAGTTTTTCTGGGGGGATTTTTTGTGACTATCATTGTAATTTGAAAACATGAAAAAAATACAGTCAAAAAGAATTGAAAAGAATTTCAAAAAAAAAATTATTTGTACCTCGTTGATCGGAAGGAAACCCTTCCGATCAAAGAGGTAGATGTACCTCCCTGATCAGAAAGGTTTCCTTCCGATCAAGAGGTACATCCTCGTTGACCAAAAGGAAAGCCTTCCGGTCAACAAGGTAGATGTACCTTGCTGATCGGAAGGGTTTCCTTCCGGTCAACGAGGTACATGTACCTCATCAACCGGAAGGAAAGCTTTCCGGTCAACGAGGTAGATGTACCACCCTCACCGGAAGGGTTTCCTTCCGGTCAACGAGGTACATGTACCTCATCGACCGGAAGGAACCCTTCCGGTCAAGCACTCATGGGGGCGGTACCCGTAGCGGTAGGTCGTAGTCTTACCCATAGTGAAAAGCATAAACCTACTGAGGTGAATCGACTCGTTTCGGCGTGTGTGGGTGTGATTTATTT